GTACTGCTTAGCTACCCAAGGGGGAGAGGGAGGGTACATTATGTTAAATGGCTCACATGGTGACATGTCTCAACTACTTTTGCAACTGCTTGTAAGTTGAGACACATACGATTCTTTGCCTGCCATATATTTTTCATATTGATTGATACTCTGAGATCATTACAATTTTAAACAGGACATCACTGGGACTAGAGGTTCCAAGCATTTAGAATAAGGACCTGTCCCCTGGATTGTTTTAACACAATCTAGTCTTCAGTGATCTCCCTTCATAAAATCAACCTATTTAAAGTAGTCCAAGACACTTCTTATGAAGTAAGAAAGAAAAGGATCAGACAAAACAAGATGGTTGGCATAATATCATCTGATGATGATTTAGTTTTGAAAATAAGTTACATATAGCTATTATTTCCACAGATGCCCAAGTATACTGTGTGTGATTTGGGGGTTTAAAGGTCAAACCTTAAGGGAATACCTAACATATTCAGCATAAGCATGTGCTGTTAAAAAAGGAAAAACTACATAATAAAAAAATAGAAAAGAAAAAAAGGATAATAAAAGTGAGTCGAAAGTCTCATTACCTTAATTCCATCGCTGAGTTGTCACTTACGGTCGTTTTAATACTATTTTGGTGACTAATTCTTTGTACCGTGTGTTATCCTACTATATATAAATATAATAGGCAGGTCACTTCAACCCATCCCTTAAAACCAAAGGTCTCCACTTGAGGCCAATAAATTCCACATAAGTCTAGCAGTTTCCTTCAAATTAGCACCAGCCAGAGTGAATTGCAAAAAGTACCTGCCCATTCGAGTGGCAAAAGTTTCCAAATTCTGCCGTAAAATCACACACAGTACACTTGGGCTGCCTGTGTTATTTCAAGGCAAGGAGCAGAGGGGAATGGAGCATATTTCTCTTTTTATCTGCTGAACCAAGTACAATGAACCGATCGCAAAGAACCATACTTACCTATTGAAAAGTTGCTGATGATGACTCTGACTAGCTCAAACACCAGGAGTAAATTTTTGGGGTCCTAAAATCAATTGGAACCAATTTTTTTTAAAAAGGAAGAAAGCTCTTATTATATCTCAAAAGTGACCAATCCACCTTTAAACTTTTTTTTTCATTTAAAGAAAGAGTGTAACTGCCATCAAACTCATCATGGTTCTTGTTTTTCAATGCTTAATATATACTTCTGTCAATAACAACTTAAAAATCAACTGTGAGACAAATTCAAACAAATCATTTTCTTTCAATCTGTTCTCACTGAACCCTGCTGATTACATGAGAAGTTTTTCTTAGATTTGAAACCATCATTTTCACAGGCTCCAGGGCTGTGGTCTAGCATTGCCTGGCGACCCCTGGCACCTTACTTTTGCTCTTGGGCAACTCAGGAGTCTTAGTTTTTTCCCAAAAAGTATATGCTATGCACCTTGGATTTCACAGCTTCAGAGCAATGGGCTCCCTTCAATTTTTCTCAGAGCACAGCCTTGGGCTCTATTGCTTAGATGACTTCTTTGATTTCCTCGTTCTAAGTCAGAATGAAGCAGATTCTTAAGCCAAGTATGGACTGAAAACTTCTCTACTGACCTTTTCTCCATCCATAGCTTGGAAGAAACCAAACACAAAATCATTTCCAATACCCTTCAGAGCTGTAATTAAGGACACAGGGTGAACAAAGTGAGTTTGATGTAATTTGACTCCAATAACAACTACATCAACTTGATCTGCTCATAAAAGTTGTCCTTGTGGTTTAAACAGTATTTTTATTGCAAAATACAATGAAGTACCACTATCAGAATTCTTTGTCCATAATTCAGTACAAAAATATGCAACATTTGGATTCCAAGTCATGGAAAAGTTTGAATCAACATTCTTTTATCATCAACTTAAAAATTAGTTGATTAAATACAGTGAGTGGTTGGAAAGACAATTTTGACAACATCACATTATTAGTTTAGTTTCACTGGAGTAAGGACATGGATTTCAGGGTTACAAGCTTACCTTGAAGATGTTTATTTAACACAACTGCAAACAGATTCAATGCAGTGAGTCTTCCTTCCTTCAGCAGAGACTGGATATTGAGCAAGGCAAGAAACAGAATGACATTGTTTAATAAATTTCTTGAAGAGAAAGCCCATTGAAAAAATTAATGATACTTATAGCCATAAACATGTAGGCCCCGATAAATGTGAAATATGTAACAGTAGTGATATTAAAGGGCTTCAAGTGATTAATCTATTGTCAATTTTCTAAAGGCACATGTACTGTGACAGTTTTTGTTACACACTATAGGCCAAGAGTGTCTTCAGAGATTTCAGTTCATTTCAAGTTCAATAGATTTTTTATACTAATTAACATGAGGAACGACATGATATTACTGGTCTCCTAAATTGATGCCGCAAAAAGATTTTCGAACCTCCTTGCATTACTTCTTTAAATTCTCCGTACATAATGTTCAAAGGGCAACAAGTGACAATGAAACTAACTTGCTTTATCAAAAAAATGCCTTCAACACATGAAAAAACCTTACCTGGACATGAACTTCTTTGAACAACGTCTGCATAAGTTTAACACAGTCTGCATCTGTGACATCTTGATTTGTGACCTACATGTAAATCAAGAAAATGCAACACCTTAGGTTTTATTCATGTAATGTAGATTTGACTCTGAAAAGTCCCTTGGGGATGAGCTAGTAAAGTATGTATGTATGTAGGTAGGTAGGTAGGTAGGTAGGTCCGTCTGTCTGTCTGTCTGTCTGTATGTATGTATGTATGTACCTAACACTTCCACACCCAAGATCTTATTTATTTAGTAAATCTCATTACTGTCTGTTATACAATTCTTGTAATGACAGTTTAAAAAATTTGGTATCAGATCAATTAACAATCCCCTAATTGATATTTTTCTTTATTCTAATCACTTGTTTGCTTGATATTGCATTGATAATTATTATAAGGATGAGTAGCACAGTCACATAGCCATTTGCTGTAACATAGTCCAAAAATAATTATATTATTGTTTTTTCACTTTTTATCACTTTTTGACTTTAATTTTGATGGAAATGTACATTGTAATAAATATCTGTAAATATTTTTATTATTTTGCATTAATAACACTAGTTTTGGTATTACCCACAATCCCTTGTGGGCGTGGCACATTTCTGTTTTTTCGTAAAATCTTAAAAAATTCAATGTAAAAATGGGAAAAAAAGAGGTTTTGTAATTGTTATTTCACATTGTTATTTCACATTGTTATTTCTTTTGTTTCCATCTACTTCGGTTGAATTCCCTCAGTGAACTGCACTACAAACGGTGCACGTGGTGAAAATCACGCAATACATTCATTATGATGCAATAATCTGCCTGTAGCGGCCGACACAAGCGAAGCAAAATTTCGACGACAACTATGAGTTTCGCAAATGAAGACACACTATGAAGCGAGGATACATTTTACGGACAAGCCTTGAATCGTTTTATTTAACGTAGTCGTGGTATCCAAGTACTTATCGTAAACTNGTTAGAACACATGTTCCCATTCCTTGAAATTTCTATGTATAAATTAAAGTAAGACATTCTCAAGCAGAATGGTAATAAGAAGACAGAAGAAATGAATCAGGGGGATGTTATTAGAAAGAGTTAACCCTTTACACTGTAACATCAGTATACATATTCTCCATAATGTTCTCCTTACATTTCTTAAGATGCTGAGAAGGAGAATTTGTTCAACAATCAAATAGCTTTTAGTTGTTGATCATTTCCTTTATTCTTGTGACCTTAATGTGTGATTCAGGGTGACATTGTAAGGAGAAACTAGATGCTGGTCACTCTTCAGGGTCAAAAGGTTAATATCAGAGCTATTAGACCTCTGAGAGCTAAAAATTATATGGAATGCATAGTGACTGTGGCCAGTGCAGAAAATCATACTAAGATCTCAGGAGTGAAATGATTAGTTAACACAACATACACCTTATCAACAGGTAAAGCCTTGACACATCATCAAGAATTTCAAATCGATCTGTTAGGGAAGATATCTGAAGTAATTAATTGGGTTGTTAGGTTTTGGAGGAAGATATTTTTCTCAACATACCAAGGCAAGAATACCAAACAGAGCATGAGGAATAATGGTGTAGTGATCCTTGAGTCTATCACACAGAAATTCACAAAACAATGCCACTGAAAAAAGAAACAAAGAAAGAAACTTATTAATAATTAACTTAACATTGAAAGTCATTGTAAGATAGGGCTTCTCATCTTCCTGCTCCTCTCCTCTCTTGCTCCAAGGGGCACAAAGATGAGAGACCCTGAGAACAAGGTTGGCCAGTGACCAGATGGTCCGTGGATTCTCTTCTGCTTAAAGAATTCTTACAGTGCTCTCTTTTCTGTCAGCTCTTATCACTAGAGTTACCCCTCAAAAACTTGTAGCAAGTTAATAAATTTTTTTTCTATTTTTGAACTGAGATCCTTAAGTCAACAGCATCTCATGGATGGATGGTGGTGCTCACAGTAACCATGGCTACTCCCACAGACTGTGGCACCTTTTTCACTCTCACTTTTTATTTTTCATGAATTTTATACCGGGTGGAGCAAAAAAAATCTGATCTGAGTTTAGATTCTATTAAACCATTTTAAATTTATGCTTAATTTCATTTTACAATGTACATTTTTGCAATCAGTGTATTAACCTCTCTGGTTGCAATCCCTTCTTGTTGCAAACAGAAAGAGTATGCTCTGTTTCTAAATCACCCAGCTCTCCCTTGAAAGTACTTACAGTTTAATGAAAACAGAATTTACTTTCCCAAATTGGGTACAATCAGTGGGAGAACTTGTCATAGGTCAGAAAAGTCTGGGCAGATCATAAAATTAGTTTTTAGATATAAATACCACCCTAACTATATTGACAGAGCAAAATTAACACTTGGTCAAAATAAGTTAAAGCAAAGAGCCTATAACAAGCTCATATTCTAAAGACTTTATAATAACAACCTTCTTTTTCCTTAAATTGAAACCCAACAAGGCGATGCAAGACTTCAGACAACAACCGCACACCATGGCACCTCTTATCTACATCAGTACTGGTCAACTGCGGCCTAAACATGGATATAAAAATACAAGTAAATCAAAACTATTATAAAATTCTTAGTTGGGTCTGGTTATCAGCAACCTGGTTTGAGATATAAATGGAGTGTGTGTGTGCATCATGATTGTGATTGGACAGTGTAATATGTCATTTTTATAGGCCTCTTGCATGTTAAGTAACCATTTTCTCATGGTGTTACACAGACTGTTGGGTTCATTATCTCTTGATGGAAGTAAAACTTAACTGTTAAATGTCACCTGTTATGTTTTTATGATTATACTACAAAAACGACCATTTCTTTATCAAGTGATGTCATTCTTTTCATTCATTATCACGAGACTTAAGGTTGTCCAATCCGATCTCCACCTCACGGCCGTCTGGTCTTGTTTGTCACATAATATATGATCACAGACCAAATTGTACTCAATTCAGTCCTGTTATCGTTATGAATAATAGTGGTTAGCGGTTGAGTACCTTGAAATTGACTCTACCCAACCCTATTATTATTGTAAATAACACTCGCCCATGCCCGAATATATTCCGCGCGCCTTAAAAAAAAAATAACACTTGGATGAGATGACGGCATCGTGAATCGAATGGGCGTTCTGTAAAAAATTGAGAAACAAGGGATCCTGAATGTTCTGTTCTTTTTTACCTTTAAAATTCATGAACAGGAAAAATTTGTTTGGCTAGGCATCACAGATTACATAACCTCGAAACAATACACTCAACGCATGATTATGGATAAAAGCTTACTAACCCTAGTTCTTCAATAAAAGTAACAAGATCTAGGTTTCCAGAGCGAACATCTGCAAGAAATATTTTTGTATCATCAATAATAATGGAAAGCAAGACAGATGCACTTAAATTTCCTTACCTTTCACGATTCTGGAGAGTTGTTGTTCAACATTTGCTTCCAACATGTTTTCACTAGCTCCATCCGCCATGTTGGAAAATCGCCATGTGCTGTGATGCGAAGGGACTGGGCTTATTACAGGTATGCAACGCGTTTAGACTGAGTAACTTCGTCGTGTGGAAGACGAAGGAATGTTCGACTTCTGTGGCACGGGTAATCTATGCTAGCGGGAGCCATATTAGTTGCCGACGCTCTTAAGTATCATAATTGTCATATGAAACAGGTAACTGTGAAAATTCAGTGGAACAGTACAATCAAAGGGTTTACCAACGCGCACAAAAAATTTGAAAGACGTTCACACAATTTACTGGGTGTAAGGGCCACCTGAGATGATTGAAACCACAGGTTACTTCACTGTAGGCTCAGGGATTTCATTATTTTCGGAAGTAGACGTGTATTACAATGTAAGTAGGTGGATGACAGTTCAGCGGGTAATCAAGGTAGATTTTTAACCAGTCTTTCCCTTCTGTCCATTTAACCTGGCGCACAGCGAACTGATCGTGTGGTTTTGTGAATTGTTAGAAATCGTTACAAAAATCACGCAACAACCAAAAAAATGAGACAACATATCGACAAAAAATACCTTTATTCATGACTGCCTCTAGAATTTATTGAATTAGTTTCAAAACTGAACACGCAAAAACCGGGAGGTGAAATGGCCATAGTAGCCGGCTCCGGTGTGCTAACTAGATAGCCTCAACTGAGAATGAGTAGGCAGTGAATTCGAAATGTTTGCATCAAAATTTTTACTCTATAGGATACAAGAGACTACATTAAATTTTTTCGGGAGAAGGTTAATCAGACAAAAGTTCTTGATCGTCATTCCATATAACTTTTCATAGCCTCGTCAACAGCCCCACAGTGCCCACAGGGAGCCCAGACGCGTCGCTTGTCTGGGCTCCCTGTGGGGTGCCTAGCGTTGGCTCCATATCCCTGAAGACATGTGGGCCCTTCATCTCCCACCTTTTCATGAACTTGTTCTGTTCGGAAAATTCCGTCCTCATTTAGTCTTTTCCCAATTGCACGACCGATGTCTGGGACTTTTTTTGACTGTTTTATCTCCTATAGGTTCAGCTGTAAAGCGTTCCCTCCATCATGATGTTCCGTTTAGTAAATAGGTGTTGCCTTCGATGACAGATATATTTTAATTACACAACTCGTGATTGACATTAATTCCGTACAATGATTAAAAAAGTGTTATGTTTTAAACCAGTCTTCAGAAGAATCGGTAAGAGAGAGAAGTCAGTTTTTATAATCTGTTCGCTTACCCAAATCTGCTAACCTGAAGTGAGAAACTTGTTTTTACAACCCCCCACAGAAGAAAGTTTCCAATCATGTTTTTCTTGAATTTTGTCACGAGATTAGTGTTTTCCTGATTTCCGATTACAAAGGTATTTCTCTTAGATCGAATAATTATTAAAGCTTGGATAATATTATACAGTTTGTGGTAGTTTGTGGTGGTCGACTGAGCTGACCAGTGCCGAGTAAGGAATCACGTGGTTCTTAAAAAAAATAAAAATAAAATAAACAGACAGACATTATTTCCAATCCAAGGTAATCCAACAAATGGGTGATCAAGAAGGATAAATTTTTGTTCTAGAGTCTTGCATGCACCTTTCCCTGCTGTCTAGATGTAGGGAAACTGAAGGCTGCAGACCGACATACAGTGTACTTTACTTATATTGAAGAGGAAAATTTAAGTGTCTTTGTCATCTTTCTCTATACGTCACGAAAGTGTTCAGAATCGGTCGCCTAGTCATCTCTTCCTGTTTCGCCCATGTATAACATTTTTCCATGGGTGCAAGTTATATAATACATGACATTTCAACTCAGCACTCGTAATCCCCACGGCATCAAGAAACGCTTTTCATTCAACTGATTTATACTTGTTTTTCTTTGTTTGTTTCCACCAAAAGCTTAGCTCGATCTTTCTGCGTATAAACAGCACACAACCCTCAATTCCTCGATTTACTCTGACAAAGTGCTAACGTTTGTAATGTCAGCTTTAGAATCTCTATAAGGTGGTGAATACGTCAACTCGGAGGATAAACCAAATTAGTATATACTAAAACAGTGGATAGCGTTGAAGGCGCGCTCTGATTGGCTAGTCAAAGTCCGAATATCCTTTGCTATTTACCTCCGAGCAACTCGGGAAAAAATGGCGTCCCGGTTTGCATCCGTGACAAGCGAAGAAATCACTCAAATTAACGACGGTGGTGTATATTATCTCACTGTTTTAGTATATACTAATTAACAACTATTCACCTCAGTGTCGATGGTTAGCGGTGGATATTTACCGAGCCGCGCACCACTAACCACCTCCACTTTGGTGAATAGTTGTTAATTATCTTGCAACCCACCTCACCGGTGCAACACCACAGTTTCTCTAGAAACTTACCCTTTTATTTTTGCTTCCATGACTGCAAAAGAGTTTCGATTTTCCGATTTGAAAAGTAGCCGCGACAAAAGGATATTTTTTCTTCTTTGTCACTACGTCCATCAAAAGCTATCAAGTCTCAGATCGTCTCTGATAATTTCTTAAAGTTTTGTTTCCCAGATATCTTAAGTTAACGAAAGACTTTGGGGTATTATAGTTCAATCCTAATGCTCCAGAATGTTTGCAAGGATCAACAAAGATTCAAAATTTATCGTCATGAAACTTTGGATGCCGGTTGTGTGAAGTGCGAATATTAAGAAAAGCTAGTTCTTGAAATTTACTTTGAAAAAAGGAAAGTTTGTGCTTTATGTTTATTCCTATATTTTTTTTACCCAAATAACCCATATCCCGAGAACCCCTCATAAGGCCTCGTCCTTTATAACCTCCGAGTGTAGAAGTTTGTGGGGAGGACAGAGCTAGGATGCTATTTTAGGCAAGGAATGGCGATTATGGGGGAGGAGAAAGCTGAGCCAAATATGTGTTACAATGACAGTGAAGCGATCACAAAGAGGTATCCTTACCTTCTGAGAAGTCGATGACGATTACTTTGACAAGCTCGAGCGCAAGAAGTAAATTTTTGGCTCCTATGATAAATTAAAACAACATGAAAACAAATTCACCATCTTCATTTATATCTTCCTAACAGATAAGTATCACATATTGACATTCCTATCTTAGCAGTATGCAGGAAGTTTGTCACTACGGATGTAGTTCAACAGCCCAGCCTTCCAGAAGTCTCTTGTACAGCTCCGTGGAAGAGCATGCGACTGATCGGACAAATTTCTCGACTCGACGACAAATCAATCAGTAAACAAAGGAACACAGCTCTCTTTTTCATTTACTTTTTAGACAGTTCCCCTTATTTGCAGAAAATGAACAAAAACAACACTGATACTGAACAACAATGAGGAACAATTGAAAAATGTTCCGCCAAACTCAGTCGCATCTTTTGTGCTTTTCGTAATTAAATTTTCCTCTATCGCGTTTATCACTTCCGTTGAAGTTTCCGCTCGATCAAGTCACGAGTTATCGATCGTTTTATTGATAAATACTACTTTCGGACCTTTCGCAACAGTTCGAGCATAAAGGAAATGGGGGAGTATGAAGAATGCGTCTGGAACCTCTGTATTCAAATGATATACCATAACACCACTCTAGTGATGCAAAATCAGAGGCAAATACCTACCTAACCACCTGAGGGCCACTGAGGTATCTTTCGTTCCTCGTCGCGCAGGGAATCGAGATCTCAAGAGGATAACTTGAGTAGGGCACCAATCCTATATTTACCATCATTTTGGTCTCCGATTGGAAAAGAAATACATCAGTTTTTCTGATTGGAGGGGGGCTTGTCAATCAAAACTCATAATTGCCTGATAGCGTACATGAGATACCTAATTGGTTCAGACAATCGAAACTGAAAGACGAATCCTTTAGTAATGTCGCACATCACATGATGGCATGCCAAGTTTTGCTGAAGCTATCATGAAATTCTTTTCTAATGTGCTTACCACTGCTAATAGAAAAAAAAAAACTCGAATTTACTTCTGGGATCATGCTCTGACGCAAAACACGCCATCTTAATTTCCGGGAAATTTTTCTATACCTTATTCCAAGGATCTTGTTGCCATGCACAGTGTGCCATTGAACTTTGTAGTTGTGGGTGTAAAAAAATTTTTTCTTCTACCGATCACGTTAATCGAATGGCTGGCTTTCAAATTCTGGGTTTGGCTCGCCGCAAAAATAATGAGCTTACCGTAATTATTTGAATATACGCCTCCCTCGAATAAACGCCGCCCTCAAATAAACGTCGCAGGGACAAGCAAAAATGATTAAACGCCGCCCTCGAATAAACGCCGCAATCTTTCTTGACATTGCGGCGTTTATTCGAAGCGTCCTGCACAGAGAAGTACGATGAATGGCTGGCGACAGTTGGCATTCACGAAGAAACAGCAGCCGGGAATATGAAAGCACCACCAAGAAAAACGATTTTGCAGTGGATCCTGGATTCCTGGGCTGAATTGCCTACACGTTGTGCATTGAACGTTCCAGTTGTCGGTTCAGAAGATGTCCCGATTCACTGTTTCAAGGAGGGATAGCCGCGCAGCACCGGACTAGCCACAATTGGATATTCTTGACGAGCCAGAAACGAATCCTTTCGACACTGAAGAATACACGTCTTCTGATGTGGAAGAGGCATGCCCGATTATTATGCCCGAACAAATAAGGGCCCAGATATTTAACACTATGTTTCCCATACTTCACCGTTTTCTAGTTTTCTTTTCTCCGACGCTTCACAAAAATGCCACACAGTATGGCAATATGTGAGGTCAGGTAATATGGCCGATTTGAACAGCTGAAGCTTAGCTTCTATAGGGATCATGCGCCTAAGACGAACAAGAGCATTTACTTTTCTGGTAGCCTTCTTACAAATAGCACTAATATGTGGACTAAATTCAAGCTTATTATCAATAGTAACCCCTAACAGTTTAAGCGCGGGTACAGATGCAATGTTTTCTCCATCAATGTCAACACTTATTGATTGTTCATCATTGTTTTTCTTTCCTATCAACATAATTTCCTATTAAAAAGTTGTCTGTGTACCACCTAGAAATAGCCTGTCCTTCTTCATTTAATAATTTAATGATTGTATCTTCTGTCGTAACTTTTCATAGCCTCGAAAGCAGCCCTACGATCCCCAGCATTGAATACATATTTCATTAAAAACTTGTCGAAGTGCCCTTTGTCTCCTTTAGCAACCAAGAACTGTCCATACACTTGTTTTGCTTGGGTATATCCATCATCGTTAAGGTTTTGCCCATTTACAGGACCACAGCCAGGAATTTTTTTCACCGTTTTATTTCCCATGGGTTCATTTGCGAAGCGGTACCTCTTGTTCATGGCTCTTAAAGAAAATGGTAAAATATAAAATAAACAGACAGACAATTTTTGTTTCATATCCAAGGTCCAAACAAAAGTGATGAAGAAAGATAAGTTTTTTGTTCTGAAGTTTTGCGACTTTCTGAACTGTCTAGATGTAGGGAAACTAAAGGCTGCAGACTAACATGCAGTGTATTTTACTTAGGTTGAATAGGAAGATTTAAGTGCCTGTCATCTTTCTCCACGTCACGAAAGTGTTCTCAGAATTGGTCGCCTAATCACTTCTTTCTGTTTTGCCAATGTATAACTTTTTCCGTGAGTCAAAGTTATACAATAGATGACACTTCAACTTTGCACGTGTAGTCCTCACGGCATCAACGAATGCTTTTCATTCAAGTAATTTATACTTGATTTTTAGCTCGATCTTTCTGCATATAAACAACACACAATCCTCAATTCCTCGATTTATTGTGACGAAGTACTAACGTTGGTAACGTCAACTTTGGAATCTCTATATGATGGTAAATTGGTTAACTCAGATAATAAACCAAATCGTCTGGCAACTCCCTTCGCTGGCGCAACACCACAGTTTCTCTGGAAACTAATACCCCTTTTATTTTTGATTCATGATTGCAAAAGAGTTTCGATTTCCTGATTTGAAAAGTAGCCCCGACAAAAGGATTTCTGTCTTCTTTGTACTATGTCAATCCAAAGCAATTAAGTCTCAGGTCGTCTCTGATAATTTCTTAACATTTTTTTTTGCTAAATATCTCAAGTTAACAGCTCCCTGAAAAACCTGTCGGCCCACTGTCGGTAAAGAGTCAGCCGAAAGTTCACCAACAGTTCACCACCAGTCGGCCGACAGCATACTGACAGATTATTTTTTAATAGACTAAACTCATGCAAATAACCTGGTTTAAATAGAATACCGGTAAACACTTGTCCTACAATCATTTAATCCACTTGAATCCACTCGTACGATAACCTTTTGTGTATTCCTTGATCATAAACACTCGGATAAGGATAAGGTTGGCTTAGATCACGGTTGTTACTAATAGGGACCTTTCGCACTGACGACAAGAACGTGGACGACGATGTATATGACCGATTGAGGCCTGGGACGGGACCGTCGTCCACGGTAGGAAACAAACACTTTAGCTCATCGGTTACGTGGACGAGTCCTTTACTGCTAATTTGAAAATGCAAAAATTATCCACTAAAACAATTTAACTTCTTTTCAGTGTTGTAATCAACGTCAAGCGATTCAGAGCTAAGCTAAGTTTATATACACAGTCGATCCGAGCGGTTCGGATATTTTTCAAAGCCCAGAAATCTTCTTAAAAATACCAGCTGGTATAAATTACAAAACTATAACGAAATGTCCGCGATTTATATCTATAAAAGCATTTATAAGGCTACGTACATACCTTGCAGCCCTTTTATCATCATCCGCCATTGCTTTCTCCGCTGTGAACTGTGAAGATCAATCTGCAACTCGAAAGAGATCAACTTTGTTGTCATCACGGTACGATCAAATTACTTTCGGCACTGTTTTTATTCCCCAACCGTCCCTTTAGATTGAAGAAATCCCTAAGATAGGTAAGTAGAAATTACAAAACAAATAAAACATACTCACGTTCTCGTCAATTGCAAGACTGTAAATGGCGTCCTGAACGAAAGGGATGAAAAACGTCTGCGCGTGCGCCAGAGGCCCGCGGTACGAAACGCGGGCTCAGACGCGCGCTTATGTAAACTGAATAAATTTTGCGGGAAACAAACTGCCGTAACAAAAGTTGCAAAAGTAAAGAAGCCGTCAAAAAGATAAGGTTTTAATTCTCATTTTCGAAAAGAAGAAAAAATTTTAAAAATTGTTCTCTCGCCGACAAACGGTCTTTTGTGCGAAGTTTCAATACGGCTGCGAACTGGCTCAATTTGCAGAAACGTTTACAGTGTCGTGTTGGCTATTTCTGATGACTCTTTCGTCCGTTCATGCAAAATGTTTGTTCGTCGGTAAAACAAGGAGCAGTAAAAAAGCTTTTTACGGCACTTCTAAGCCCCTACCACTTGGTTTGGCAAGAGCTGTGAACTTGCCTGAAGAAACTCCAGTTTTATAATCGCTGCTCATCGCCGTTTTCCGATCGAAATTCCAATTAATTAAACTTCCTGTAAGCCTTTTCAAAATTTTGTTCATACAGGGAAGAAAGAAAGTGAGATATCAATCAGGGAGCAAGTGGTGCAACGCCTGTGAAATAAAATTTTACTTAAGTGCCGAGGGAGACTGAGGTATGGAGATAGCAGATAAATTTCGTTGTGAACTATGTTGACTCAAAATCACACATTTGGTTTTATTTTAATTTACATCTAGGAAAGTGGCTCTTTAGGATTGGAAAAACTACGAAACAAGAAGTCATTCATTTTTTAATCAACGTTAAATATCTATCATTTTAAAACGAATTACTGTTAATTTTACAGAGGTCAACCTCCACTATTTTAATTAAGCTAATATTGGAGAGAGGGAATTTTTCTCTCATTAATATTTTGCAATAGTTCCATTATTTACTGTGCAGTAAATGGTTTGAACCCGGGGGTAACATGTGAAGGTGTAGTCTGATCGTCCGGGTGAGTGTAGTCCTGAGAAGGACTGTTGTCGGTGGCAGTGACTGACGTTTCGACAACCTGTGCGGAAGTCATCATCAGAGTCAAGTGAGTGATTGTTGTCAGTAGAATGTTCTTATTCCAGTTCGTGTGAAATGATCGGTTGGTTTTGCCGTGATGTTATTGGCTGTAAGACTCAAGTGACGTAAGTCGTTCGTGATTGGTCTGTTTCGGTCTGTCGGTAAAGCTAGGTTGTTCTTTTTCGGTCGTTTGTGATGTTTATGTCGTGAATGAGTCGTTTGTATGGGGCGGGTAGTTGTTGACATCTGTTTAGGGGAGTCTGTTCTAAGTTAGTAAACCAGCTTTCCAGAGTCAGTCGTTGAAAATAGTCAGTGCTGTAGGTTAGGCATTGCGCAGAGTCCCAGTCAATGTTGTGGTTGGTAAGTCGATGGTGTTCAGCAATGTGATTGCTGACATCACCTTTCCTCGTCGCCCGTCTGTGTTCAGTCAGTCTTGTTGTGAGGTTTCTGCCAGTCTCACCGATGTAGGAGGCTTGGCAGTCGGAACAATTGATCTTATAAATCGTTCCCTGTCTGTTCCTCGGTTCGTCTTTGTCTTTAACGTTGGTTAGTTCATTAAATTATTTTGGAATTTACTTTTGTGTCTGTTATTATCACCATTCAAATTCAAGACAGATACCAGTAAACCAATTGTCAATCAAAACCAGCTCAGACCAACCCATCCTTAACTCCCACCCCCCATCATATCAATCAAAATATTCAGTTCAAACTTTTTTTTAACTCAAAAAAACTTTTTTTGGCTCCCTATACCTAACCTCTTCTATTCCTTTTACCACCTACTTTTAATACTAACCAACATGTTACTCATCTCCCTCATTCCTTTTCCTCTGATTATGACTATCTCATCTTATTTCATTCTAACCTTCCTTATTATTATCATTAAATTTTTTAACTGTCCTGAAGTGGCTGCCTTGTAAGTTGAATATAAAAATAGTGAATAAACAAATTGTCAAAGAAATCCTTAAAAAGTAACAAACAAGCAAAAAGAGCTCTTTCCAATTTTCTAGAGACTAAACATTCCTTTATGGAGTCCTTTACAATGGAAATCTTTCATTTTCCTTTTTTCTTTTGTGTATCTTTTTGTATTTTTGCATTGTATTTCTTCATTTTCATTTTATTTCCAATATAATTATATTAAGTTAAGACAAATTTGACCCACTATCTGCAGGTCAAAGGAATACCTTGTAGATATATGAGAAAATAAAATAAAAGTGTGAAAGTGTGGACCTTCAATGCTAGTACCCAATTGAACTACTGATAGTTTTTATTTTAATGCTGCCTTATGATTGACATAACTGCCTTGTAGTTTGCAGGTCCCTCAGTGCAAATTCTCTACTGAACAACTAACATTTTATTTTCATCATTCACACTTTCAACACTTGCCATCCTCACACTTCCTTACCCCTTATTAACCCACTAATTTTGTGGAGATTTGGGAACCCTTTCATTTGGGATTCCATACTTTTACACATGTAATGCCACAAAGGTTGCTAGATAAATCTATTGCATTTTTAATTAAAAGTTTTTCTTTCTTAGAAAAGAAGAAAAAAGCAGTCAATATCCAACCACACCAACATGGCAATGTCACTTTCTGATTCTTTCAGAGCACTATTTTACAGTCAGCAATTCTTGGCAGAACAGGAACAAACTCATGTGCACTTATTGCCCTTTTTTTTTTTAGCCAATTGTTTTATTCATCCAAAGTGGATATTTCTGTAATAAGCAGTCCACTGAGTCAGGCATAGGTGTACCAGATTATTGTTTAAGGAATCATACTAGGCAACATGATCTATGATTCAATCACACAAAACTCCTCAAACCTTTGGTGTGCAACCTCTGCAAGGCCCTAAAGCACTGAACAATATCATCGACCATACCACTATTGGTCCTGAACTTCCTGTCAGCATTAATCCTGAAGCAATTCCGGCTTCTGTTTTCATTTGATTTCCAACACCATTGTACTTACTCCAACTTTCCCAGAACAATGGATTTTGTGTGGCTTTGGCTGAGTGGCAGCATAGGGCCATTCCATTTAAAATCTGCACCCCCTCTATTGAAGGCTTTCCCATAACCCCCCTCCAGAAAAGAAATTTTTTAACCCCCTTCAGAATTGCCTGAAATTACCCCCTTCAGAATTTTATGTAGCTATCAAGCAAACCAATTGAACCCCCTTCAGAAACTACTCGTGAGAATTTCTATCAAGGGTACTTTATGGCAAACCCTCTCAGAAATATTGTTCAACCCCCCTAAGAAAAAATACAGCATTGACCCCCCTTCCCCTAAGAAATCCCAGGCCTTTAATGGGGGGGGGGGCGCAGATATTAAATAGAATGGCCCATTCATAGGAGGTTCTCTCATGCCATATGGAAATAACTAATTTCCAATACTCTTAAAACTGTAACGAATGTTAAGTTCCAGCGAAAGAGATATGTAACGCAATTTGTAGCTTGTGCTGTAGCTATTCATGGGGTAACGCGATATTTTGCAGCGTTTTCAATTTGTTTGTAATACCGTGATGGATGGGTGTGCTTTCGCTTCGCCTTGATAAAAAGTTCCATTTTTCTTCGAGATTCACCTTTATTACCAAAGCATGGTATTATTTATCTTCTATCAATTTGAATCTTAGCTTATTATCTGAAATAGAGGTAAATTATACTCAAAGAAATTAAGCTTGCAATGTGTTTCCTTACCGAGTACTAAAAGTTGTTGGCTTTTGAGCAAGCAAATAAACATTTCCCAAAAATAATACGTTCAACAAGTCGACGAGTTCAGTTTATAGAAGTTATTTCCAAATAGCGTCCTTACATTCCAGTCGGAAAGGCAAAATATATCCACGAACACACAGTTTAAATTACGCGGACATTTCGTTGATCTAACGATCGAACAGCTCGCCAACAATAACAGGATGACAGGGATGAAAAACGTGTGCGCATGCATGGCGTGATCATGTTGATGTTGTCGTCCGCGAGTTGTTCCTCGTCGTGACGCGCTATATCGAAAGCGTTTGTCGAGGGTCGAACACACAAGTTTATAGTTTGAAATATGTCGTGTAAGCTGTAGCACGTGTTCCCCACGAAAAGTTCAAACCCGAAGTGTGTAAGGGGCCGACCACTTAACTTTTGAGGGGAGGGGGGTGGGTGATTTCTGGTCATTAAGATTTTTTTTTCTAGCAATCTGCTGTGCAGGATATTTTTTTCCGTTCTAAATGCTCTTTTTCTTCTGTTACATTTGGGCTGCATGCAATTTTTTTCTTCCAACAAGCGCTTGCAGGAAATTTTTTTTCAAAATCACCCACCCCCCCTCAAAAGTTAAATGGTCGGCCCCTTA